TGGAAAGTGTTAAAAATATACTTATAGAGGTGGAAAGATTTGGTCAAGTGGCAGGATTTATATTGAATAAGAAAAAGACTAAAATAATTGCTAAGAACATGGATCAAGAGACAATAGGAATAATGCAACAACAAATAGGTATAGAAGTGGTGAAGAAGGTGAAATATTTGGGTATTTGGATAACCCCTAAGAATATTGATTTGTATCAGAATAATTATATACCAGTGTGGAATGGTATAAAGAAAGATCTGGAGGTGTGGGGACGAATGAAGTTATCGCTGTGGGGAAGGATTTCAACGATAAAGATGAGCGTACTGCCAAAACTGTTATTTTTGTTTCAGACAATTCCAATAATCAAAGGGACTACGACCTTCAAAGAATGGCAAAGAGTAATTTCAAGGTATATCTGGCAGGGCAAGAAGCCAAGAATTCAATTTAAGTTACTAACAGACGCAAAAGAAAGAGGAGGCTTCGCCCTGCCAGATTTGAAATTATATTATGAAGCTTCATGTCTCTGTTGGTTAAAGGAATGGGTAAAATTAGAAAACACAGAGTTGTTAGATATAGAAGGATTTGACAACAGATTTGGGTGGCACGCATATCTATGGTTGGAAAAGAAGAAAATCCATAAAGGTTTTGAGAACCACATTTTCCGAAGATCGTTGATAGAAATATGGGATAGGTATAAAAACCTACTTGAACCCAAAACTCCGCACTGGTTATCTCCATTACAGGTTATGGGTGTTAAAAAAGTCAATATGAGAAGAAATTGGATTACATATGGAAATTTGATTGTTAAGGAAGGGGGGAAATGGAAAATGAAACCCTATGAAGAAGTAAAAGAGTATGTATATGATTGGTCGCACTATTTTCAAATAAATGAAATGTTTAAAAAAGATCTTAAGGAATATGGATTTGTAGAGAGGGAATCAAAGTTCCAAATGGAAATAATAAATAATGAATATAAAATCTTATCTAAAATGTATAAGATATTGCTGGAATGGCATACAAAGGATGAAGAAGTTAAATCTGTTATGATACATTGGGCCAGAGATTTTAGATATAATATACAATTTAATGATTGGATTAAATTATGGAATGAAAATATCAAATTTACCGCATGTACTGCGCTAAAGGAAAATGTTATGAAAATGATCTATAGATGGTATATTACACCGGTAAAACATGCAAAAATGTATAAAACATGCAAGAAATGTTGGAAATGTAAAGAAAAGGATGGTACTTTTTACCATATGTGGTGGGAATGTAAGAGAGTGAAGAGCTTCTGGGAATTGATATATAATGAATTGAAAAAAATGTTGAAATATACATTTGTTAAGAAACCAGAGGCCTTTCTTTTAGGAATTATAGGAAATGAAATAAATAGAAAAGATTGTAAACTTTTCCAATATGCAGTAACAGCGGCAAGAATATTACTGGCCCAGAATTGGAAACAAGAACAAGTACCAACATTGGAGGAGTGGAGAATGAAGCTGATGGACTATGCAGAGCTTGATAAACTGACAGGGAAGATTAGATATCTACGAGATCAAAAGTTCATCGAGGACTGGGGAAAGTTAGTGGAATATTGGGAATGTATAAGTGACAATGAAATAACGTTAGTGGCATTTAAAGAAGCTCTGTAAAAACCTAAGAAATATTGTAAAAAAGGAAAATATGGGTGGAAGGGTATGTCAAAAGGCAATAGCAAATTTAGGAAATGTGTAATTAAAAAGTTTAATTCGGATGATTGTCAAAGAGGCTGAAGGAAGTCCAAAAACGAGAAAATTTGTTAAAGTTGTAATGTGGTGTGATATGTATTTTTTATGATGAAAATTAATAAAAAATATTATAAAAAAAGGAAATCAGTTTTGTCACCTCTTCCCCCCCCCAAACCCCGAGACAATGAGCCCAGCCACCTTTCATTCACAGTCGCATAAGCACTACATTACAGCATGGCCATAAACTTGTACGTTCAACCGCTGAAATATACACCTAATATGTAGCAATGGAGATTTATGTTACCGCTTTATGAATGTACACTGTGTTTTATGAATGGACTCTGTATTTTGTGAATTACCTAAGAGGGAGCTCTAGAATCTGGCAGCTAACCAATTGGGTACTACTACCAAACAGCGACCCCTATTGCTGAAAGCAAATAACCAGCAGGGAATGCTTCAGCTCAGCCTTTGCACTGTTTACGGAACACCCCCTGCTGTGCAGATAATGGAGAAAGCTCATAAATTGTATCCCTTCTGGCATCCTGGCCAACTTTATTACGCTGGTGTAAACCCTGGTGCACCAGAAGCAGAGAATAGCAGCAAATAAAATCCGCTCATATGTCAGCAAGACTTGTCAACCAGTTCTTCCAAAGTCTTCCTAAATCATAAAGCTCTAAAATACAGGACAAAAGAGAGCAGGTCTGGGAAGAGCGAGGCATACAGTGAGCACCACCAGCAAAAAGCTGGTGTAATTCCTCCATGTACAGTGGTACCTCGGGTTAAGTACTTAATTCGTTCTGGAGGTCCGTTCTTAACCTGAAACTGTTCTTAACCTGAAGCACCACTTTAGCTAATGGGGCCTCCTGCTGCTGCCGTGCCTCCAGAACATGATTTCTGTTCTCATCCTGAAGCAAAGTTCTTAACCCGAGGTACTATTTCTGGATTAGCGGAGTCTGTAACCTGAAGCGTATGTAACCTGAAGCGTATGTAACCCGAGGTATCACTGTAATTCCTGCCCTGTCATTTGATAGAGTGCCCACTTGCCCTCCTTCCTGACATGGAATGTTCTCTATTGGAGTCTCCAGGTCCAGTACAAAGACCATAAGAAGGGAGAGCAGGAACCTTGAAGTTCCCAACAGCTGTTAATCAAGCAAGCAACCTTTGTCACAGTCAGGACGTCACAGTCAGGACAGACTCGGACCTTGCCTCTCGGTTAGCCCCCAGGACCAGCACACCCCCACACCAAAAAGGATGGCCATTGCTCAAGAGCCTGGTCGGGGTGCATACGATCAAGGAGGGTAGTGAGCCTCCTCCCCATAAGCAACTCTGCTGGGATCCGGCCGGTCACTGCACTTGGGGTGATGTGTTGGACCAATAAGAACTCCGCTAACTGGAGAGTCCAGTCTCCATGCACTATGCGCCTACCGTGCAAGGGTAACACTCACCATTGTTGCTCTGCCCACTTTTGCCTTTGGCCCCACCCCACACTGCCACATGTCCACCCCACAGAAGGGAATAGAATACAGCCCTCTGGCTGAAAGGAAGTTCCCCACCCCTGCTCTACCTGAAGGCTCCAGGGATTGAACCTCTGCATGCAAGGATGTCACTGAAGAGCAAACTGATTAGAACTAAAGAGAAGTTCGTGATATTAAAACAAAGAAAAGTGCTGGGTAAGAACATTGTCCTTACGGAAAGTCTGCTTAACTGGGAGGGAAGTTTTAAGAATATGAAACATCCATTTCCACAACCCGTCCATGAGCCTTATTGCCATGATTGTTTAAAAAGGGACTGTGCCATTTCTGCTTTGCAAGCGAGCTGCAGTTATTATCAATTTGCTCTTGATATAAAGAAGTGATTTTCCTATACTTACATCTGCTCTCAGAAGAAAAAAGAAAATGGTCCATAAAAGTTCCATTAGCATACAAAAGCAGAGGCATCTGCTGGGAGTCTTAAGGCGCTTATTGCCTTTACTTAATCAGAAGCACCGGCTACGACTCGCCTCACCTCTGCCCTCATCAGCACTCTAGGTCTCGGGGCGCCACAGAGATGCCTTTGTGGAAGACACCCAGGGACATGCAGAGAATTTGACCAAACAAGCGCTTCTTAAAACTAAATTAATTCTTGAGCTATTTAAAAAAACAACAACAAAAGTTTTCCACTAATTAACTCTGGGTGCATTGTCCACATAGGCCTTTTTTGTAAATTGCAGCCACAAGAGAATGAAAATAAAGCGCAGCGTTGCATCGACACACAAACAAAGATAGTTGGCTTGTTTGTTTTTTGACCAAGTTATGCATAGCAGGGAGTCGCTCCTTAAAACAAAAACGCACGCAGCTCCTTGTAACATAACGGTAGCACCATCTAGAGGATGAGGGGAAGCAATTCAGATTTTGTTCTTCTTTCCACAATGCTGCGTGTGTTCAGAAAACAAGGATGCTCCAGGGAGCTAGTGACAACTGCTTTGGGACAGCAGCGTTCAGAAAACATGGTGCAGGAAACACAGAGGGAGAGGGCATTCAAAGATTCTACATTCATTCAGGTCAGGCTAAAAGATGGGAGGAAATTTAACAGGACTTGTATTCCAGTCCAAACAGGAAGCCGGACCACTTCTGCATATACATACACAGCTGGAGTACCAACAGGCTAATAGAGTTCTGAACCTTTTCCAACTCACAAGCTTGTAGTGGTTGGCTGCAACCCCAGAGCTGGGCACCACATCACATGGAGGGGTCAAGCTTAGCCAGGAAGATTGCCATACCTAGGCCACATACATACTATATGATACCGCTTTAGCCATCATGACTCCCTGAAAAGTATCCACAGAGCTGCTGTTTTTAAGGATGTTGAGTTACTAAGAAACACCCATTCTCCTCACAGAGTTAAAATTCCCAGAATTCCCTGGGAAGAGGGACTGATTGTTAAACTGTGGGAATTGTAGTTGTGGGAGGAATAGAAGGTCTGCTAACAACCACCAGCACCCTTAGCAAACTGCAGTTCCCAGGATTCTTTGACTGTTTAAAGTGAAGTGATACAGCTTTAGTTGTGTAGTGCAGATGGGACTGAATTAGAAGACAGGCAGTTCATAAAATACTTCAAGTGGAGAAACGTAGTCTCTATTAATTCAGGGATCCCATCAAGGGTAGTGCACACCATGCCAAGTCCTGATTAATATACCAATATTAACTGTGGCCTTTGACCAGAGTTTGAATATACTCAGTAGCAACCAGGTGGAACAGAGAGTAAACATAACCAGTAATAACCACAGACGGAAGATTTGTAACTGGAACAAATCAATCTATTTATTGGAGCACAAAGCATGATGGCATTATGGAATTTGCAGCAAATATAACAACTTACAGGAACGTGATAGAAATAGCACAAACCAATTCATGGTTTAATAATGGCATGAATAATTATGCCTGACAAAGCAATCAATCCATGTAAGTAACATTATTAACATTGTCTCCTCCTAACTTCCTTCAGCACATCAAGTTGTAAAGCACAAGACCTAAATTGCTTAGCAACTTAATTTAGCATAAAGTTCAAAGTGACCAATGCAAAGCTGTTGGCACAGACCTTGAGGCCCTTTGCTGAGCAAAGCACACAAATCAAAACAAGCAGCAGGAAGACAAACCAAACACCCACCACCACCACCACGAAGAAGGAAAGCAGTAACTAAAACAACAAAATGATTCTCCGTGTACCGTTTACACTGATCAGGAGCTGAACCAGAGAGGTGGCTTTTTCCATATTTGCACTTATTTCATTAGTCAGGTGGGCACATAAGATGTAGATCATGAATTACCATAATCACCCTGGAAGGGCAGTGTAGAGTTCTTCTCCACGTCCAGCGCTAGCTTGCCAAAATATGCTATGCTTTCACTTTTGTTTTGGCTACATGGCTGTTGTTTGCCTTCTAATCTTATCCCCCCTCGGGATGCCAAGGCCTCATATCACAGATAGAAAAGTCTATCATAAAGTCTCCCCAAGCAGCTTGCAGAGAAATGGCACAGATGCATCCGTTTTGATCCACCACAGCTTCTCTATAGTTGCTGGTTCTGTCAGCCTTGCAGTGTCCAGATTAATTGTCTCCTTTTCATGCAATGGAATGAAATTCTATGCAGATGCTGAACTAAAGAAGTCATAATCATAACTGGTTTCACATCATAGTTTTTACATACAGTTTTTAATAGGCAATTCCACTTAAAGGCTATACTTTGGCTCTTCATCAAAATGTTATACAGCTACTGCTGCCTCTGCTTTTGGCTCTACTTCCTCTCCACACACACCCTTTTCAGTGTCCATTTACACTCCCCACCCCCAGTAGCCATGCAGTGGTACCTCTGGTTACGAACTTAATTCATTCCGGAGGTCCGTTCTTAAGCTGAAACCATTCTTATCCTGAGGCACGCTTTTGCTAATGGTGCCTCCTGCTGCATGCGTGCCTCTGGTGTGCGACTTCCGCTCGCATCCTGGGGCAAAGTTCGCAACCAGGAGCAACTACTTCCGGGTTAGCGGAGCTCGTAACCCAAAGGATGCGTAACCAGAAGCGTTCATAACCAGAGGTACCACTGTATCAGCCAACTGAGAATAACACAGTGTGCATGAGATGAAGTGGACTTTAATCCACAAAAGCTTCTGCCAAAATAAATATGCAAGCCTTTGATGGACAAGGCCTGTACCCTGTCTATTGGACAGTATATTAGGTTCTGGCTCAAGCCCCTACCCAGGAAACCTGGGACGCCAAGTCTGAGTAACAGCTCCTAAGGAACGTGCAAGTAATGATATTTATTCAGCTAACAAACAACAGTGGGTCAACAAGAGATCAATAATATAGGGAGCAGTACAGAAATCTATTTTAGTCTACAATGTCCCAACTTTCTCTCAAGCTCCAGCTATGCCAAGGAAGTCTGTGCTCTTAGGCCTTACTCACAGATGCAAACACCTTTCAGATGCAAAATTTAAGAGTGTTGCAAATAAGGAACTTTCCAACCAGCAGCTGACAGCAGAGAGGCTGCAGCAGCAACAAATGGGGTGTGTTGCGAGAGGAACTCCAGCAGCTGGCAGCAGAGAGGCTTCTGCAGCTCTGTGCCAATAGGAATTGCTATGTCAGGTCTAGGGGAGCTCTAAGCTTCCCTCCCTAAACTGGATTTCAGCAAGCAGTGATTGGGCCAGTAAAGCTTAGCAATTCCCTATCTGAAGCATTATGCAAGAAACCAGGCCAACCCTTCCGTTTTCTCTCCTCTTCACAAAAAGAAAGCCCTTCTTTCCAATCCAAATCTGTGATCCATGCTTGTCAGAGGTCACTATAGGTTAGGGCGAACCAATCTCCAGATGCACTCTTGTTGAGGATAGCTGGCTGGCAAGAAGGCACAAATGCCTTAAACACCTTCCTGCTCTTGAACTTATTCCAACAGTTACAGTAAATGCAGAATGCAACTCTATCCAACATGCAAAAGAGGGTGACATGCTGGGTATGTATGCTAAATTTTCTCTACACTTTCTGCTTCCACCACTGGGTGACAAGTGTTCTTTTCTCTACAGCTTTACACAGACCTTGGAAAGTTCATTTATTAATGAACTTGGGGAAAGTGCATTATTAATCAGCCAACAAAGATTAGGTTGAGATTTAATCCACTGTTAAAACTGCTTTTAAAACTCTGGGATAGGTCAGAAAAAGACCCTTACTGCCAGTGGCGGAGGCTTATGCTCCAGCACCGGAGGGTGGAGAGCAGGTGGGGGTGGGGCTGGCGCACATCCCGGGAGCATGACACACCACCCACAGGGGTGTGGCTCACGTCCTGGGGGCGTGGCATGCCACCTGCGGGGGTAGACAGTAGTCAGTGTGCCCAAACTGTATAATGTCAATTGTCATTGTTTTATGAATCATGCCTTGGGGTGTACAGTAAAGTCAAAGATGAAGCCAGATAAATCCTTGTTAAGGAACTGGGGGGAAAAGAACTTCACCCATCAGACGCAACACTTTCACAAACTGACAGGAAGCTGTTGTGGCAGAATCAATAGGGCAACATATGAAATCGTTTCACGATGGTGAATTTGTGAAATTCTGTGCTATAAATATGGCCAAAGCCTTTCAGGAGGAAAAAACAGTAAAGCGTTTTTAATCAGTGCCCTTGACACATCAAATGGTGTCGTGCCAGATAGAGTCTTTATCTGGAAATGTATTGGACATGCTGCATGAGGAACTGTTGAACGCACAATATTTTTCAATTGCCCTTGCCAAAAGCACTGATGTGACGGGCACTGCACAGCTCATAATATTTGTTCGTGGCATGGCCAGCCATTTCCCTGTTTTGGAGGAGCTATTAGTCATAGCTTCTCTTCTGGTATGACAAAAGAAGATATCTGCAAAGAAGTTGTAGCCGTTCTCCAGAAAATCTGAGGTTTCATCAAGCTAAGTTCTGTAGCAACAGATGGTGCATCATCAAGGACAGGGAAAACTTTGGGGCTTGTGGGGTTGCTTCAAACGCATGGCATCAAGTGTCCTTTCATTTATCGTATCATCCACCAAGAATCACTTTGTGTCAATCAACTGAAATGGAAGGATGCTATGAAGATGGTCGCTAAGATCATGAATGCAGTTTGAGGTAGAAATTACCGGTACTCACTTCTTCATGGAAGACTAAAATGTTTTCTTGCAGAGCTTCATGTGGCTTATGGAGATCTTCTCCTTCACTCTAACAGCAAACAGGACAGCATCAGGGCAAGACAAGATGACTTAATAAAAGCAATGCCCTAGAACAGCGTTTCTCAAAGTTGGTTCTCTAGCTGTTGTTGGACTACAACTCCCATCATCCCTAGCTAGCAGGACCAGTGGCCCCAAAACACCTGGAAACCCAAGTTGTGGAAACCCTGCCCTAGAGACTATCATACTCGCCTCTACATTCCTCAACCAATGGGAGGGTGAATGAGTCAGCAAGTCATACACTCAATCTCTCCTCTGCTGCTATAGTAACCCAGGGCACCTAATCTCTTATCTCAGAACATCCAGATGTGGGGGATTTATTAACTCAAGACATGAGACCACACACTATTTAACCCATTGTTCACATCACTCCGACATGTTATATGTTAAAATGCATATATTAGCAACCATGGCTTTTGAAATCATTGCTTTTATATTGTAAAGTGTTGACTCCCATTATGTTGCATACATTTTGCTTTGTTGTCAAACATGATTCCTTTTATTGGGTGCTGCATCAGAAGCCACGTTCTGGGCCATGAAGCAGAATTTAAATGCAAATAAATTATATCTTTAAAAAGCAAAATAAACTGAGGTTGACTGTTCAGAACGGGAAGGGAAACTTAATGCATAATGATTAGGCCAATGCATTGTCAAATCTCCTTCCCTCAGTTACTTGCAGTCCTTATTATATGAATTCTATTTAGAAATAAAACAAACGCATGGCTAGTAATGGTCCACAAAAAGAAGGGGCTTCCTGACTACCTGGCCATAACAAGCAACAACTTGGCTCTTGGGCTGTTTATCTTTTTCCCTCTCCGGCTGTCTCCTGATGCCAAGTCTAGACATACACAAGGGATCTCTCCTGATATTTGTTTTGTCTTTGGCATTAACTGTAGATGTCTGTGATTTCTAATAAATTCTCCTCGATTGGCCTAAATGACACAGGATCTGGATGACAGGTACTTCTTTACAAAGGCCTGAGTCTTCCATTCTTACTGTTCAACTTAACTAGAACAGCCTTGCAGATTCAAGAATGTTAGTACTCCAGTAGAATAGTGACAGTTTTATAAGTATCTGTAAGATTCTTTATTACACCTGCTTCTTCCATTCTCTTTAGTTCATATTCTACTTTGTGGTGCAATGAAACAGGAATTTCCGAGGTGAACATACGCTATATGGTTTTGCATTATCCTTCAAAATAATATAAACAGTCTCCTTTTAAGAGTCCAAGAACTCCATACACTCTTTCAATATTACCTATTTTCTTTACAAAAGCCATTGTGGTTGCTACACTGTAGTGGAGGAGGCTATTTGCTTTTGATCCTCTAATCACATGCACACTGAAATGGAATATTTTATTATTGTATGATGTTTTTGCAGAGAATTGTCCCCAAAAAAGTCAAGGGTCCTCCAGGTCAACTTTATCTGGTACCAGCAGGTGTCAACAAAAGAGATGGATCAAGATTAAGATGTGTTTCTTCTGAGATGACTGTCACATCAGCACCTGAATCCATTTTAAAGTCTATGGTCTTGCCACAGATGTTTGATTCCACTCTCAATGCTGGCTCTTAATTATCATAACCAATAGATCAAAGAAAAAGTATATCAGGGCTGCCATTTGCTACTTCTGTTAGTTTGGCAGCCTGTTGCAAAGTATCCCAAGATTTTTACACTTGTGGGATCAGGTTCTTCTGGCTGGGCACCTCACCCCAGGGCTGTGGTTTTTCACAACATCTAGTATACCTGAACTGAGAAAAGTCTGAACTTTCTGAGGCTTACTCCAAGCTGCTCAGGAGAGTTTCTTAGTAGTGCTTTCTGTAGATGAGTACTTTCTTCTTTTAGCATTATGCTTGCTGGAGACCTCCAGGTTACTTTCTGATGATTTCTGATCTCTGTTCTGATTTTTCACCATTCCTATTGCAGTATGAAGGGTTGAATCTGTATGCATTTGCATCCTGAGAGTCCATTTTCCAGGATGCCTATCAGTACCATGTATTTGATGCGATCTTCCTTTTCGTCCTCAAAATCAGAGTTTTCTGCCATTTCATAAGGTGTCTCACGAAGGTTTCCACTGGCTCCCAAGGCCTCTGAACCCTCTAATGGAAACAAGCACTTCCATGAACTACGTCACACTTGGGAATAAAATGCTCATCAAATATGGCAAAAGCTCTTTCATAATCATCCTTATGATTCTCCTTAGTAAAGGTGAAGTATCAGAAGGTCAGCAGTTCGAATCCCTGCAACAGGGTGAGCTCCCATTGCTCGGTCCCTGCTCCTGCCAACCTAGCAGTTTGAAAGCACGTCAAAGTGCAAGTAGATAAATAGGTACCACTCTGGCGGGAAGGTAAACGGTGTTTCCGTGCGCTGCTCTGCTCTGCCAGAAGCGGCTTAGTCATGCTGGCCACATGACCCGTAAGCTGTACGCCAGCTCCATCGGCCAGTAAAGCGAGATGAGCGCCGCAACCCCAGAGTCAGCCACGACTGGACCTAATGGTCAGGGGTCCCTTTACCTTTTTATCTTAAGTATCTTAAGATGTGGTCAGCTTCCTTTGGTGCTGACATGTGTGTGGGGGGGTAATTTTAAAAATGCCCCAATGCAGCAGTCTCTTATTGCCCATAGGGGCGGGGCACACGTCCTGGGGGTGGGGTGCACCGCCTGCGGGGGTGGGGCGCCCAGCACGGGCGGGGGGGCAGCTGTGATGGCTCCCTGCTGGGATCACACTACTGGGGGCGGTGCACTCCCCCCGCACTCCTCTTCCTCCGCCAGTGAGGGTGTGGCTTCTCCAGCTTTTATTAGTTGCATAGAAGAGGGGATTTCACCTGCTCAGATATTCAGCTATTAAATTCTGCAAGGGCTGCATCTTCTTTGCTTTCACCTGGCCACCCTAGTAAAGAAGGCCTTCCTCCCTATTTAGTGTGTTTAGGATTGCAGCCTCAGACTGAAACCCCGTGTATGTTTAACTCTGAACTTGCTTGCAAAACAAGAGAACTAGTGTACATTTCTTAAGGCTAGAAGAATCTTACGCATGCCTACTCAGAAGTAGCCCTATTGCGCTCACCTCCTAGGTAAGTGTGTTTAGCACAGATAGGGAACCTGTGGCCCTCCGGATGTAAACACATATAATAACACTGACTGTAATATACTAACTGCTAGTAGTGGTATGGTTGGTTCACGCTTCCCCAAAGCTTCTGTCATGATAAATCCATTAATATTCCTCGGTGCTTTTCTGACAACACCCTAAAATTACTTGCCCTGTTATGCAAAATGCGGAAAGCACTATTTGGATGTGATACCTGACAAGCAGACTTCACTCATTTTCTGCCCTTTTAAAATTTGTGAACGGCTAAAGCAAGAGTGAATGAATTTTAAATGTGACAGCACACAGAAGCAGAGGCAGCAGCAAAACAGTGATTAAAGCTGCAATCTTTTGCACACTAATTTGGGGCAAAGCACTCTGATCCAGTACAATTTACTTCTGAGATTAAAAAAAAAGTAGGATTGAGTTGCATGTAATTTGCCAGGTGTGATTGTGTACATACTCTGTGGCTAAGAAAT